CTGAGTACTGGAACCAAGACTCAGGCAGGAGAATGAGTTAAGTTTCTCTGACCAGCCAGCAAACTCCATTTTGTCTCCCTTTCTCCTCATCCATCTTAGGAGCCCCAGTGTGCACACCCAGCAGTAGAGGTCGTGCAGCTGAGTGGACAGTGTAGGCTTTCCACTTAGGGGGTTATTTAGAACAGAGGGTCAGATCTTTGAGCTTAGATGAGGCCAAGTCTGAGTTTTGCACACACAAATGGTATGATTTCAAGTGAACAGAAATTGAACTGGGATTGGGCCACCTGATTATTTCATCTTGTGTGATCTACAAATATTATCAAAGAGTGTCAGTCATGGAAGATTAGGAACACTTTCTTTCAGCCTTCGCATCATCAGACAAGACCAAATGCATTAAAGGTCCCCCTACCTATAAAACATCTCATTTCAGTGTGGATGGGACATGAGAGTACCACAATCTCCCTCATCTGCAGGAGAGGCCTGAAAACACAGATAGTGCTAAACTCCATATGTACTGTGTTTTTTCTCATATATACACAGCTGTGACAGAGTTTACTTTATATACAGTACTAGTCACAGTAACAGATTTACAATAATCAATAATAATAAAGTAAAACAAGTGTAACAATATACTATAACAAATTTGCCAGCATGAAGACTCTTGAATTTTGGGATTGCTATAAAGTATGGGTTCCTTGAACACAAGCACTGTGATATCATTATGGCTGGTCTGATAACCTCAGGGATTCTTCAGTGGTTAACAGACAGTGACCTGATACAGTGTGGATATGATGGGCAGAAGGATGATTTGGCTTCTAAACAAGGTAGAGCAGGATGGCATGTGATGTTATCATGCCACTCAGAACCACACACAACTTATAACTTGTTTTGTTTCTTAGCTTTTCTATTTAAAAGATTCAGGCCGCAGTTAACCATGCATAACTGAAGCTGCAGAAAAGAAAATCATGGATATGTGATGTTATGGATTAAAAACTGGTGGTCAACTTAATGCCAGCTGAATTAAATCAGCATGGTGCTGAGTGTAGATGTTTCACCTGAGGAAAGTTGCCAGCATAAGTAGAGATGTGAAGGAGAAGTGAGGCATTGTGGGTTTCTCTAAGTGTTGCTATTTGAGCCACTGGTTCTCCTGGAGGAGTTCATAATGACTAGCTTCCCCAGTGTGAGTTCAGCCATTGTCATTAGAGGAGCTTGGGACCTTGTTGATGAGAGTGGCTGTGGTTCACTTTGGGGGAGCTCTGGTCCTTACATCGAGCATTGCTTCCTGGCTCCAGAGAGGAAGACGTGTGCTGTTTAATCTCCAGGACAAACTCATCATGTAGGCTTCCTGGTATGTCCTCGACTGTTCTTATTGTCAGAAGAGCTCAGGACCTCCATGTCACTGAGGATGGCTGTGGTACTTGTTATGGCAACCTTGGTCTTTATTATGAGCGTAACTTCTTAGCTTCAATGTAGAACACTCAACCTACCAGCACAGCTCCTTCACCCTGCTGGCATAGTCTTTCTAGCTTCCACTGCTGACCTTTGGGTCTTCCCAGGATGGATCCATAAAACAGACTGGTGTAAGTCCTTCTCATGGGCTCTAGACCTCCAGTTGGACTCTTGGGAGGCACTGTCATGGGCTCTAGGTCTTCATCTGAACTCATACAGAACATTGTTGTGGGACTCAGGCCCTTGACCAAATATTCTATGTCTTTAGTGTTACAGATAGATTTCCTGCACTTTCTTGTGTTAAACTGTGGTGACCATCATGAATAATATTACAAATTCTGTGTCCTGATTTTAATTATTATCCTCACAACCCTGACTACAACATGGGAATTATGTATCTTGGAATTGTTGCATGGCTTATGATGGGTAACACAGTTTTGGAGGCCTATATAATCTCAGCAGGCTTGTAATATGCAGTCTTACTTATGCACCTCAAAGGAAAAGGTTTTACAATAGTAAAATTGTATTTGTTCAGAAAATTACTAATACAGCCTCTTATCCTTCTCCTCTAGACACAGTTTTAGAAGCTATGGTAAATTTTGCTGTAAAACAAATAATGCTGATTATTTAAAGCAACCAATCATTTCATTACTTGCTGATTCTGTGGAGTAGTGGATAGAAATGGCTGGGGCCATTCAGCTGGGTCTCCGTAGAGCATATGAGGACTCAGCTGGTTCCAGAGCCCTGTGTGGACACACTTACCTGCCTGGCTGTTGCACGCAGCAGGGACCTGGTAGTGACTGCTGTCCTTGCTTTCTGTGTGCTCTTGTCCTGCAGTGGGCTAACTTGGGATTCCTCACTTGATAGCCCTAGGGTTGGAATGCTCTGTGAGCTCCTCTCCCTAATTTCTCCCTAGCCAAAGCAAGTCATGTTCACAACTAGTTTCAAAAGGAGGTGAAATGGACACCCACTCTTGATAGAGAAGTGTCAAAATAGCAAGGATGGGAGGAATCTGGGGGCATTTTGATACCTCCTGCAGATAGTAGAGTCCCTGGCAGGAGCCCTTCTGCCAGGCCAAATAAGAGACCACTTGTGTTAATTCGTTTCCTGTCACTGTAAGGAAATACCTGAGGTAATTAACTTACAAAGGTAAAAGTTGATTTTTGGTTTACAGTTGTGGAGGGTACAGTCCTATTGCTTGCGCTTGAGTCAAGTGTAGCACCTTGTGGAAGCATGGGGCAGAACTGAATGGCTCATCTCTAAAGCCAGGGAGCCAAGAGGAAAGAGAAATTAGCTTCAGGCCTGCCAAAAGAAAAAAAAAAGTCCTGTCGAGGACACACTTACAATAACCTAAAGACCTCTCCCGAGGCCCCTTGTCCTAAAGGGTTCAGTACCTGGCAGCAGTGCCGTTCACAGGGCCTTTGGGGCACTCATCCAAAGCATAGAACTTCTTGTTGTCTATAACTTCAGTTTGACATGGGATCCTTTCCTAGCCTCTTATTTTAAAAATTTGTCTTCTGGACTTTGCAAGTATGGCTACATTTACTGGTTAGACTACCTTGTTTGCCTTCTTGAGTTGTGATTTCTTTTTTGTTCACATTTCAGTCAGTGACTTGCTGTGACACAGACACAGAATTTCTTCAGATTCCCTTTCGCTTTGGGATAATCGGTGAATGTTCACCTTGCAAGAATGTTTCATTCTTCAACTGGTGTATTAAACCCCTGGCTTAAGCTTCTTCTCCGGTGATCTGGAGGAGTGCTTAGCAACTGCAAAACTTATGTCTCTCTGATCCGTTATACCGGGTCCCTGTTCACAGATTTTTTTTTCTTCTTGTGTGTAGTGCTTATGACATACTTCAAGGTTTCACATTATTTTATTAATCTGTGAACATAACTGTGTCCTGTGGTAGCTGGGTTCTGAATCTGGCATAACTCGGGGCTACGGCCACTGAGAAATAATCATTCTTAACCCAAGAAGCATCTGTCTCACCAGGGTTTGTCAGCCTCACCCTCTGCTCTGCTGACCTACCCAGTCTGGCAGTTTTCCTTGGGGATACTAGTCCCTGTTACAGAGTGCTAGCAGCAGTCCTGGCCTCCAGCCATTTGATGCTAGTAGTGCCTCCTTCTCCTCCTCTTCTCTCTTTCTCTCTCTCTCCCCCTCTGCCTCCTTCTCTTCCTCCTCCTCCTCTCTCTCTCCCTTGCCTCCATCCTTACTTCTGAAAGTCACAGTCACTTACCCCCTTAGAGAGCAGAATGGCCCTCGGCTGACAACCCCACTGCTTTCCCTGGAGCTGCTGAAGCATAGGTCAGGAGGGAAGGTGTGACTCTCGTGGGCTATCATCAGAGAGAGCAAGCCAGGTGCGGCAACCCAGCAAAGAGGCTGTAGGGTGGTCGAGCGGGAAGGAGTGTGTTAACTTTCACCTAGGCTCTGGATTCCTCAGAATTAACTAACTTGAAACGTCAAAGTGAGTCTTGCTACACTTTGAAAGGTTCATCAATATCTCAACTTCATTACATTAGAAGTGGATTAGTGGTAAATACTACCCCTGAGTGGGGAGCGAGGGGGCAGGGGCTATGCTGACCACAGATAATGGATTTTGAGAAGCTCTTTGTTTTGGAAAAAATTAAACATTAAAAATTAAACATAAAAGTGGAGAAAATATATAATGACCCATCCTGTACTCATCATCCAAGGTCGTAAGTGATGGATGGATTAAAGCCTTGTCTGGCATCTGTGCCTCACTCTCGCCCCCTGCTGTCCACGTGGGTTATGTTGAAGCAGATTCCTGGCGTCTTTTCATTTCATTTGTAAACATTTCAGGGTGTATCTAAGAGAAAGTACCTAAAAATGATCATTGTAATATGCTGGCGAGATTTCCATCTTCTAATGTGGACAAGAATGAGAATTTCTGCTATGTCAGAAAGAAAAGGGAAAGTCAGTGAGATGCAGACCAAATATGATCGGCTTTGGGGGAGTCAAAAGGCCCAGAAGAACATGAAGGTGGGGATGCTGTCTCTTGGAGCTGCGCTCCCTGCTGTCTTGCTTTAAGCAGCTCTTACAGCTGCCCCATCTGCTGTGGGACTTTTCCCAGGGGGTTGAGGTTCTTAAAAAGGTGAACAGGCTGGCAGGGAACTGATGCATTGTCTAAGAAGGGGGAAAAACGTCACCCGAAGGTACTGAAATATTCAGTCAATGATGGATTGCTCACTGATGACTTTCAGTGACTTTTTAGCTGATCAGGGCCCACTTTTAATAAAACAAAGCAGGGAGAAATTCTGTAGTTGCGTTTTAAGATTTCACGAGGATGATGGTATTTCTCTCCTGTTGTAATATATTCTGAGAAGTTTCTTTCTTTTGATTTAGACCTCCTCCCTTGATTTTATTATGTCATAAATCTCTCCCATTTGGTGAGAGTCCTGGTATATGTGAGACCTATGAAACTCGCTAGATAGCATCTATTTCCACCCCCCTTCTTTTTGGAAGATTAAACTGAGGTTGTTGTATTTGATGCTGGGATAGATTTAACCAATCATGTTTTCTTTACATGTAGGTCAGTCCAAGGGACAATTCTGCACTGGATCCTATTATCCACGGGTTGAAGGGCGTCGTCCATCATGGTAAGTCATCCACATACACTTCTTTGGCTGGAATGCGAAGGGCTCAGATCTGCACCTAAGAGAACCAGGTTATCTTGCAGAGGACAGAGGATGACATTCATTCCTCATCCGCTGATGCTGAAGGGCACTAGACCCATTATTTGATGGGTAAAGAGCACACCCATACATTACCTGCAAATGGATCTGGGGTAGCAGCCATTTGTTTCCCTTCAGGTACTGCTTCGAATGCCTGTGTTGTAAATCACGCTGCCCTGAGATACACTATATTCTTAATGTTGAGCCTGCCATTTGTCTCATCTCTCTCTCCTAAAAATACCCTTCTTTGAAGTATCTTTGCACTTATAATTTTTATTTGCCTCTGAGATTTAGGGGACAAAACTAAGTAGCCAAGACAAGCCATTAAACATAGTAGCATGATGCTCGGCATTGTCGTGCAACTGGCAGAACAGGAAAGTCAAGGCGGATGTTCGTGTTAGACACCTTATCCTCGGGCATAAAGCTAGGAGAGAAAGGAAGATAGATGGGTTCTGTCTTTTCCAACTGGTTTTTATTGGAGGAATTTCGCTGCAACTTTATTATCAGCAATGCATCATTAGCCATGTATCAGGATCCTCTGATTTCAAAAGTACCCTTGTCACAGTGAGGTGTGGAGTCTGGCTCTAATGTAATGATTTGCAAAGTTTTAATAATCTAATTAGAATTCCACAGACATTGACAGAAATAGCATTAGTAACCATAATAAATTTTCCTGCAGTCCCACAGCTGTGATAAAATGCCTTCACACCTTTTGGAAGGACTGTCTTTAGACATAAGCCAACTCCATGGAGTTTAACAAACTCCCTGTCTTCCGGGGAAACTAGAAGTTGTGAGGGTTCGATCAAGTAGGTTGTGGATTAATTGTTCTATTCTTAAACCTGCTATCATGCAACAAGTAACAATAATAAAGCAAATACAAGTCGAAACAACAAAAAAAAAGTCAAAACATTGGGCCACTAGAAACATCCACATCCCCCACAGCTTTTCACTGGAGGAAGCTTTCTCTGATCCTTCAGGATCCCAAATCTCAGCATCAGTCTAGGCACTCATGACTTTCAGGAAGGCTTTGTCCCCAGAAGACCCACATAATGCCGTCGCCACAGGAAGGGGCATATGAGTTTTGAGAGGAACTCAAACACTGAATGCAAGCCTGTGGGCATATTTTACCTGGCTCTAGAGAGTCGCAGGGGCCTAAGATGTGGCTTCAATTCTGCTGTCTAACTGGGAGGTCAGGGGAGACCTGTAAAAATAATGACCTGCAAAGAAAACTTATTTGTGTGACAAAACTACATTGCCTGCCCCGGCTCTGTGCAGACAGGGAGTGGGAGACTCAGTGTCACTCTCTGGGGAAGAGAAAGATGGGAGGCCCTACCTGCTCTTCCTTCTGCCAGCTCAGGATGGTACCTGCTGGCCTTGGCTGTTCCTGTCTCCCCTGCTGGTGCCACAGTGCCTGCCTTCTATGTCAGGTCTGTTCGGATCACGACTCCTTGGAAAGTTCTTTCTTAATTAGCCTTTGACATTTCCCTCCTGTCACTCTCCCACATCTCCCAGATTTTTTCTTCATTGCACATCAGCGCCCTGGAAGGATCTGAGGTGTTTGGTCAGGGTTAGCTCCCCAAGCCACCCCTCAGAGGAACAGTAAGCTACATCTGTGTGGTGACTGCACCTGGCCAGTGGGGGTGCTCCATGAAATGATCAGGTCAAGGAATGGTCCAGAGGTGCAAGTAAAAACGTTGAGATGCAAAGCTGGATTCAGGGGGTAGAAAAAGCCCACTCAGGTTTCTCTCTGCTGGAGATGAGAAGGAATGCGAGTTTTCTGAAAGGAAACACTCTTAAAACAGTCAAAGGGAACTTTTGTGGGAGCTAGGACATCTTCTCTTGAAAATCCCTTGAAGGATTTGCATGACCTGTTAGTTTGAAGGAGCATAAATAATTGTACCTTTCACAGAGTCTCTGGCTCAGGAATGATGATAGAAATGTGTAAGGAGAAAAAATCAGTATGGACTTCTGTGGCAGTTTGGAAATGGTTTCTATTTCTTCAGCTCTGGGAATCATAGCTTAGCATGTTAGTTTCTCATTCATTAAGTGTCTTCTTTTTTGGTGGACAGAATCTTACATGTTCCTTCAGATGAATCAGAATCATCCGTTTCAAGAAGGCTGATGTCCCTCTCCCTTTTCACTCCCCTGACTGTTCCAAGGCAGAAAGCTATCAGGAAAGGATAAATAAAATAATCACCAAATGCCCTTCAAATAATGCCCCCCAAACGAGGCTCCTGTAAGGAGCTTTTCTTGTCAGACCACAGCAGTGGAAGCTGGGGCTGGGACGAGGTCAGAACTTTGCTAGCACAGTAGCTTCCCCACCTGAACACTTTATCCCAGGTCTCACCTTTGGGGTACTGCTTCCTTTTTCTCCTGCCCTAGGACACTCATCATTTCCTATTAAACTCAGGACAAAGTCCTAGGACAGCTGGACTCACTGTAGGCCCGTAGCAGAAATGGAAGTGAGAAACGCAATTTGCAAATATATATTGACTGCTGGGAGTGAGGATCCTACAGTCAAGAGTAATGTAGAAGCATCTCCAGGTCCAGAGGACACAATTACAGTGTCATTCCCCAGCCATGATGAAATGGCTAGAAAGAAGCTCACTCCTGCTGGGAAATGCCAGGTGGTACGCCCTTTAGAAAGTCAGTGTCACACATGATCCTTCCCAAGAGCAGTCAGCACATCCTTAGGTATATATACCCAAGAGAATGTCCACAAAAAGGCCTGTGTGTGGGAGCCCCCACTGGAAGGCTTCCCAGCGCCCCCTAGTGGAGGTACAGCTACACAAATTGCAGCAGTGTCATACCGCTGGGATAGTATTCAGCAGCTGGAAGCGGTAAACTGATTTACCCAGAAATAAAAGAGCAAATGTTCTGTGGTCCCACTTAGGTCAAGTTCAAGAACAGGCCAGACCAATCCATGCCAATAAAATTCAGGAGAATGGAAAAGGGACACAAAGGAATACTCTTGGGTAGTGATAACAGCACACATTTTATCTAGAGGATGGTTTGATAAATATGATAAATTATCACATTGTCCGTTAGATTTGTACATTTGACTTCTTGTAAGAACAGACTGCGTATATTATCTATTAACTTCTAAAAGATATCCTGCCTAAAGAGCTTTTAAAAATACCCACCAGCTTATATCAGATAGTCAGATGTTAAACATACTAAGTGTCAACCATGGATTTGTGCTAGACATCATGGTCTCTCAATGCACCATGGAGCTGGGTGACTTCTTCTTTTATAGGGTGGCAAAAGGTGTTACAGTTCACAGTCAAAACAGGTAGTGATCGGCATCAGTAGGATACTCAGCCCGTGCTTTCCTGTGGGGCTCACATTGTACCAAGTGGCTCATAGCAGACAACGAGGGGAGTGACGGCACTTTGCCAAAAAACTCTCTTGATCATACAGTTCCTTCCCTGGCCCGTAGTCGGTGAGCAAAGAGAACAGCCAGCCAGACAAGGGTGTTGCAGTTAAAAGTGTTCAGGAAAGTGCTATCGCTTCGCTCTTACTGTGAAGCCATGTGGTGCACAGTGAGCCCCAAGGAAAGCACTGTCTGGACATCTTATTTTCTGAAGTCCTCCTGGAGTTTAGGAAAGGAAATCAGAAACAGAAGGGTGGGGCGATGGCCCGGAAAGGAGAAGACTCATTGCGTCCTCACTGGTGGTGCTTACTCCGCACCAGGGAGGGCGTAACAGCCTAGAAGGCAGTGCCCACTCCTCTGGATTCAGCAGCCCTGGTCCTCATGTCACAGACTTCCAGGTGAAGCAGGCAGTGACTGGATAACATGTCTTGGGTCACACCTTGAGAAGTCACTCAGCCTAGACACAAGCCAGGGTCTTTACAACCTTGGCTGTTGTTACTTGCAGCCCAGCACCCCTCTTTCTCTGCCAGCCGCCCCTGATTGAGTCAGATCGGGTGGGCTCTTCTGAAGGCTCAGTGTTCACCGGGACTGTAATCTGTCGTTACTCTGGCAGCATTGTGACTGTCGCTGGTGGGTAAGATCTTGAAATAAATTCTCCGTCTGAGGCTATGTGGGTAGCATTTTTGAAAATACCTTGTATGAACTTCGAAAGAGGACCATTCTGAAACCAAGGGCTTTGGGAAGAGATTAATCCAGCAAGCAGAAACGGTCATTGGTATCATTATTGTTCACCAGGGAGGAGACAGATCAGAGGTGAGCTGAGGTTTGTGGGGTTCTTGTCTGCTTTGCATATGTGGGCTTAGGGTTAGGGTCCATTCCCCCTCCCACCACATGAATGTTCAGGAAACGCAATGAGGAGTAAGATTTCCTCACTCTTGGGGAGATTTTAGTCTCCTGCAGAATGTTTTCTCTTGTTTTTCCTTTTTTTTTTTTCTCTATCCTTGGCATTCTTGGCACTGCAAAAACTAATATTATCTACCTGCAGAGTAACTTTCATGTGTTCACAGAAATAAGCAGGAGTCTTGTTATTTTAAAATTCATCTCCTTTGACTACAATACAATAAATTGTTTTGGATCTGAATTCTACCTCTGAAGCTCAGAGCTGTGTGATCCTCTACAAGTGGCTGAGTCTACTCTAACCTGGAATTTCCACTTGTGAAAAAAGGCTGAGGGTCCACCTCATGGGTATCACTGCTGAGTGCACCGTAAGAGTGAAGAGGGTGTGTGGTGTGCCACGTGTCCGTGGCCCTCTCAGTCAGGGTCAGCAGACTAATCTGTGAGCCAAATCTAGCTCACTCCTTGCTTTTGTAAAGTTTTATTGTCACACCTACTTGTTTGCGGAGTGTTCATGCCTGCGTTAGAAGAGCAGAGTTGAGTAGTTGTGACCGGAGATTGGCCTGCAGAGTCTAAAACATTTACTCCCTGAGTAAATTTTACAGGGAAAGGTTTGCCCCTGGGCTTCATCTAAATGGTGGTCACTGTAGCTGCTCTT